TTATTTCTACAAAATCCAACGCTGTTGATAAGCATTCACAGTGATGAATCAGACATTAGAAGGATATATATTACGTTTCTGGAAAAACATTTTTCGGCCAAAGTATATTGACCTTGTACGAAGCGTTCAAATTTGCAAAGTTTACCGTTATGTTGCTACTTCGGTGAAACACTTGCCGTTGGATGTCATGGATAGCGTGGTAAATGTCACTTTATGACATTTGTCACTTTAAATGTCACTTTATCTTGATACTTTTCCCTGAAGTTTCTTTGTACAGAATCTGGAAGTGAAATGTTCATTGAAATCCGGCCGAATTGAAACGCGTATTTTTTCACATCACAATTGGAAAACGAACTGCTTGAGGCACCTGCTTTATGAATCAACGACAGCCGGATTAACCGGAACTGCGCCTTAAAACTCGGCTACTTTGACTAATGTGGCCTTCCATTCAATGATTCGGAAAGGATATCAGAGCAAGCTCTTTTTAGTTCACCCGAAGGGCGGCCAATGAATTAAACAAAGAAGATATGGTCGTAGAGATTTGTTTCGGTAAAACAGCACAACGAAAGTTGGTTGGGAAGATGTGTCTAAACGGCATTTCGTGTTGTCTGTAATAGAATTGTCAACTTGTCGGTTTAAATTCTTGCGAGGTTGTCGGCCACCTGCAAATATGACAACAGGCACTTGTTGGCGATAAAACTTGAACTGGCGCAAAGAAAGAGCAGGTACGTAACAAGATCCGCCCTATCCACCCTCGCCTCGTTAAAAATGAGAAACATCAGGGCAGAGAAATGAAGCTACAGAATGGCGGGCAAATTTTTTGGTTTCATCGCTGCGACTGTGTTGATCGTACTTCAATCGGGACAGGAGGTGTTGGCAAGCGGAACACCTCAACCGGAACAGATTCACATATCCAGCACAGGTGGGGAAAATTACTGTGATGTCTTTTTGTTTGAACTTCAGTCTCTGTCAGCGTTGTCACGGGTAACTCCAAACCAAACTACCGGAGCAAGGCAAAGATGAAAGCGCTTCTTGTACCATTTGATCGATTAGTCTCTGTATTTAGGTGAATTGAACGTGAATGAAGGTTACGGAGTGCGATAAAAAAAAATCTCCAAACAATATGGCGCCGTACATTTCATAATCCATAACACTCAGCTAACTTTCCCAATTTTACAACAAAGATACTTGAATTTGGGTTTTGTGTAACCTTAAATATTAGAAACAGTTGAAAACTATATAACGGTAAATACGGGACCATTTATGGTTGAAGTTTCTCTCTACGGCGACAGACTGTTTATTATATTTGTGAAAACATCAGACAGGTTTTTAGTTAAAAAATTGAAGGAAAGGTTCAGAGATATATTTTATATTTCAGTCAACGCTTGTGTCGTATTGAACTTTTTTAAATGCGAGACAAGATATATAACTACGGCCTAAATTTACTTCTGCTCAGAGATTTCAAGATACTGTTCTGAATTTGGTTGGAATTTGACTAAAGCCGACACAACGTATTACATAATGCGTGGGTTCGTCCAGATTGTGAAATGCTAAAAGAGAAGCCCGGGAAAAGCGACGCATGAACTTTGGTTTGCCATTTCGTATAATCCCCTTTAGAAACAGAAGTTAAAAACATGCACAAGCACGGAAATAAAAGCACACAAAACTTTCTCATTTGCCTTCCGTTATTTTTATTTCGGAAAAAATTAAAACAATAACTTTATGTCTCTCTGCCGGTGTACATTAATCAGTCCTTCGGTTAATCTGCTTCTCACGGTAATATTGCACTTGACGAAACCTCACCTTTGTCTCTCTAAGAAGACTTGTGTTTCTTGGTTCCACTATATCATTGAAGTCTCGGTTGCATTCTTTTGCAAAATTTGTTACCATTCTTTAGAAAGGTATGGGGTAGAAACTATTTTGAGCGTAGAGAAATGTGCATGCCCAAAATATCCATGAAAATCTTTCAGGTGACCCCACAGAAATGATGATCACGTGGGTGACGATGGCCGAGTCAGTTAAGAGCGTTGTGGAGTATGGGGAGAGGTACAAACTACCGCTGAACAAGAAAACATTCGGTTCTGCTACCAAGTACAAAGCTTGTGGCTGGAAGAAGCGGATCATTTATATGCATCGAGTCAAGCTCGAAGGATTGACTCCGGGTTCTGGATATGGTAAGGATTTCTTTGTTGCTACCTTAAAAATTTTTCAATTTCGAACAAATAACAAAATAACTAGCAGTTCCAATCAGAAAAGATGAAGGTAAAGCATTTTACAATTATTGATAGATCAAAGTGATCAGCGGGAAATTATAACGAAAATCGCAGGAAAGCGTTGACAACCAAGTTGTGATGAGTCCTAAACTTCCTTCTGGTTGGTTACGTGGATAGTGCAAGCTTTTTAAACCAATGAAAGAGTGAAGAGAGTGAATTGAAGCAAAACCAACGAAGTCCCAGACCTTTTTCGACATTAAACTCTACCTGTAGCTGTTTTTTTCTTTTTCTTTTAATCACATTCTAACTGTTACGAATTCAAATACTTTTTTGTGTTTCCTTAGATTATCGAGTTGGCAGCTCAGATGGCTGGAGCGCCTTATACAATTTTAACGCCACAAAAGCTGGAACGGCCTGGCAACCGAGATTTGCCATATATGGAGATCTAGGAGTAGACAACGCCCAGTCTCTCTCCAAGCTACAGAAGGAGGTTCAGGGAGGACAATACGATGCCATTTTGCATGTTGGTATGGACATCTACATCCACACAAAACTGCACATCGCAACTGATGCTAAAAGGAGGAAAAAAATAGGCCATAGAATCAAGCCTAGAACTTTTTCTGATATCTGATAACATACTTTGTAGAGGCCCAACCTTCTCGTGTTCCCGGTCACGATTTCAGCTCACACTGTTCTTTTAAACTAGCTGTACATATTTTTAACTTTTTCTCTGATTGTTCCTTTTCTTACTTCTTCTGCAGGCGACTTTGCTTACAATATGGAATCAGTGAGTAGAAAAAATATTCTTATTATTGTATGCAAGTAATTTAATTGCCAATAATTGGTAATTAATCTAATTAACTGCGTGATTTTCCGCTCCTACCTTGGAAAAATATTCTCTATGGTTTTTCATTTGTGTCTTTTTGCCTGTTGAGTGGACCCCGATCAATATTATTTACACATCAGTAGGGATTGTGTGTGTAAAAACTATTACCCTCTTTTCAGGATAATTCACAAGTAGGAGACAGGTTTATGAATCAAATAGAGCCGATGGCCGCGTACGTTCCTTACATGACATGCCCTGGGAACCACGAACAAGCTTGGTAAGTTCCCGCATGACTTCATTTACAACATTTGTGATCGAACTGAAGATTCATTTTCAGGTTTTTTTTCATTTAATCAACGCCCAGCTCTATTATAGTTTCACTTCTGTTACCGCGGTCACCATTTATAAAACGATATATGATTCCAACTGAATTAACGGTGCCAATCAGTGCAAAGACCAAAGCAAGCCATAATGACGACAAATGCAGATGGAATTCTTAATTCATGTTGTCAGATTTGCAGTTTTGTGTAAGAGGAGTCTTTTGTGACAAGAGTCTCACTACAAAATTGGTCATATATCTTCAAATAATTGGAGTTTTTTTCTAATTTTATCTGTTAAGAGATCAAAAATTAGACATACCTGTACATTCGTAAATACAATATTAACTAGTGACTTGGACTAAATTTGTACACCGAGCCGTTTTTAAAAAACCGCACTAAGTGTGGTGCTTCCTTACCCAGAGAGAATGAGCAAGTCTAGCTACAGGAGTCATTTGAACTTGGTGCTCTTGTACTCATTTTCAATTAGCAACCCAATGTTAATTTTACAAGTACGAATATCTCAGTCTAATCCGCGTTTCTCTTTTTTTCTTTTTTTGTGAGAAAAAACCTCTAAAACATCCTAGTTATTTTCACGCTTCTTTTTACCTGCAGTAACTTTTCCAACTACAGAGAGCGTTTCAGTATGCCTGGTGACACAGAAGGAATTTATTACAGGTAGGATGCCGCCATTGCGCATGCGTCAGTTTGTCTTGTTCACCTGACAGCCCCTAAATTTGTCGTGTTTCTAAATCTTAGTCAGTGCTTTTTTTGACTTTTGATTTGATCCAACTGATCGCATATGATATCCAACGTAAAATGTGTTCATTTTCTCTCCCTTGTTCAGTTGGAACATTGGACCAGTACACATCATAAGTTTTAGTACAGAATTGTACTACTTCCTTGAATATGGCATGGAACCTCTTGTTCGGCAATACAAGTGGCTTCAACGAGATTTAGAGGTACCAGTCTCCTTTTGCTATCCACTTCAGCTGATCATAAAGCTCTTTGAGGGCCGTTATTCATACTAGTTGTACAACATTTTCGGATGGTATACCGTATACCGTATGAGTAACTCGGGGGAAATTCCCTTGGCAAGGGAATTTTCCCCGAGTCACTCATAATTAGGCGGTAGACTCACGAGCCTTTAAGCGAGTGAATGTAATGAGGAAAAGCGTGAGAAAAGTGGAATATTTCATAGTTTTTTGTTGCATACTTATTTTCTACGATGCCACGAGAAAAAACATGTAAAAACATAATCAAGACGAAATACGCGGCGACTTCATTAGAATGACGTAGTTTAGTATTATCAACTGAGTTTATAACGTAAATCGGCCACCTTAAAGAGTTTAGAAGTTGACATTTCGAGCGTCAGCCGTCCATAGCTCTGATGAAGGGGTAACGCTTGAAACGTCAGCTTTTAAACTCTTTACGGTGGCCAATTTACGCTATCAACTCAGTTGATAATATCAAATTACCCTGTTATACTCTCCAACCGACGTAGCACCACAGTTTCTTTAGAAACTTACTCCCTTTCTTCAATAGAATGGTTTTGACAATTTTTTTTTACACTTTATGTATCAAAATACAAAGAATTCGTGGCAAATGGATTCATGATATTAAAACACTTGAAAATGCCACTTCGTAATTTTTTTCGACGGGAATATGATTACAGCGCACGATGGGAAGGTGGGTGTAATACCTTCGAATACGCAACTTATTTCATGTCATCTTATTGACTTTATTTTCTATTGTATGGACAGTTTCCAATTGCTTTTACGTGTACAAAAAGTATACCGTTGCTTGTGTTTGCAGGAAGCCAGTAAGCCAGAAAATCGAGCACAGCGTCCCTGGATAATAACTATGGCACACAGACCCATGTATTGTTCCAACGCTGTGGGTGACGGCTGTGAAAATCACGAAAATGCCGTAAGTAATTCAAGTGACATACTGTTATTCGAGCAGCTTCCAGTTATCTTGATTGACTTGCTTGTTCCTGGCTCTAACCTACTCAACTTGCATTTTTGACTCAATCAGAAACATAAATGATAAACTTAAGATTTCGATCACATTTAGGTGATATCGTCAAACTCCAGAAAACTACGGGGATATGGTTTTTTTTTGCGCTGAACTCATAATAACTGCGCATGTCTTTAACCTTTTACTCCTAAAAGTGATTGACGTGTAACTTCTTCCCAACTATAAGAGCCATACATTATCCTGAAAACTGGTAGCGAGAAGAATTTGTAAGCTTGAATTAACTCCAAGTTCTCGTAACTAATTTACGAAGAAATGTGCCGTAACTAAAGGGGAGAAGTAAATGTGAGATGTTGGGAGTTATACGGTTACTTCAACTTTTGTTACTCTCGATTGATCTGGTCCTGAAGATAAAGCACTACACCAAAAAAAGATCATCTTTCTTAATTCTCTTTTTTCACGCGCAGATTTCTTTATCACAGTAATGTTGTTGCAGGCTGGGTCGAATAATTCTTGAACAAAAGGCTTGCACTGGCGTCTTTGAGAAGTTCCATTTAGACATACAGCTTTGATTAGTGTCTGAAATCCTTGTTTTGTAGATAAGGACAGGATTATCGTCGGCGAAGCTGTTTCCTTTAGAAGATCTTTTATACAGACATGGTAATTATTTTGCGGAAACTCTGTCACATTAACCGTATTCTGTTAGTATTGTTGTAATCTTCATTCTTTGGTTGACATGCAAATGAAAAATTAATGGTCCTTCAACCTTATAGCAAAGGAACTCGCGTAGACATTGTAAGCAGAATTTCTTCTAGAGTAGACAACCTGAATTTTCTGCCCTGTATATAATTATGTGTAATTATTTAAAGCCGCCAGTATGGTACATGCATGAGCTATTGTAAACTCGACAGAATCGTACACACATTTTCATCGGTTATCACACACGAGATATCGATGGACATATGCATAGATGAGGGCATTATCGGTAACTTTATCTTGCATGTAATTTTTTATTTGTCTTTTTTGTTATCCAAGCTATTGCTATCGTTTTATTATTAATCTATATAATTTTGACATCACTTAGCTATGTTAATAGACAGACTCACGGCAACACGGAATGTTTAGCAAGCTTTTCTCTAATTTTTCTCCTTTCTTTTTGATATAATTGTTAGGGGTGGATGTAGAGTTTTGGGCTCACGAACATTCCTATGAGCGCCTTTATCCAGTGTATAATCATCAGGTAGATCTTAGACCACATGACTGTTTAATCTATGTCAATCAGTAACTTGTAAGTGTATACATTTCTTTTAGCAGGTCTTAATACTATTGCTTCACGCACGTATGACAGAACTCACAGTATTAACTCAACAACAGAGCATATATGATTCAAATTAGTATGTTTACGTAATCCACAAAAAATCCACATAAAGAAACGTAACTCTCGGGTCACGCAGTGATGACGAAGAAACGTTACCCAATAGTCGCGCAGTATTGACATAGAAAAGTTCAGAGGCACTGGTTCACGTCTGGAGTTGTCCTTTCGCCTATTGAACCTTTCATTTCCATTCTCATTCCCATTCCATTCCCATTCAGATAGTTTTCAGACTTTTTCTTCCCATCTTATCCTGGCTTCTTTGTTGATTGTCTCATCTGCAAGCTGTCTCACTCACTGACGAGTTAAGTAATTGACCTTTGGCCCTGACTCCCTGATTAACTTTTTGATTGAATTATTAATTGATTGATTTAGATCCGGAGCGGTTCAAAAGAAAAGCCATACACCAATCCAAGGGCACCTGTACACATCACCACGGGATCAGCGGTAAGAAAAAACATTTTAAACATCAAACGTTATTTCCTCAATGACTTAACCCACTGAATGAATTGATTCCCAGTCCTGTATGGAGTTAAGTTTACAAAGCAGCAAGTCAAATTGTACAAAGAAGTAGCGGTGATCAACATTAATGGTAAACGTTTCGTAATAATGATACCCGACCCACCTCTTCCCCCTGATTTAAAACGTACTGACCCAAACTAAGCTAGTTCAAGTCAGAAATTGGATGGTCCGCTCTCCTCAGAAAACAGCTTTTCTAATAGTTTTAAAACTTAACACTGAAATTGAGTTAACCGTCCATACAGTTTGTCCAACCGTCGCAAGTTAGATCAGAGCTGAGATTCTTACGTTCATGACAACGAGGTTGTATTATACACGGTCTCAGTTTGTCAGCGGTTGTGATGGACAGATAACTGCTTGAACTTCTTTATCATGAAAACATTCGTACACAATCTTGAAACACCAGTATATATTTATTTTATACAGGGATGCAAGTATTGCCATGACAAATTCAAGAGAGATTACGGTCCTTGGACGGCGTTCCGCACACTAGATTATGGGTACACTAGGGTACAGGTGTTCAACAGCAGTCACTTGTCACTTGAACAAGTCAGCATTGATAAGGTCAGCGGTAGCTGCTGTATTTCGTGATGGACATCATTATGTGAAGTGTGTGTGCTTGATCACTTCAATTAATAACTTTGATGAAGAGCATTTCGTCTTGAAGTTGCAAAGTACATTTGATGAATCGATCACAATGTCTCATTCGCGATTTAGCTCTTAATGATCAAGGAACGCCATGAGCAGGATTCGGTAAAATCTTCACCGTCGGGAGGTTTGATTTGCGAAATACCCCCAATAAAGAAAAGGCTTACGGCTTTGAACACCCAAATGGACACTATTACAGAGAAACATTCTATTTACATTCTTACTAGCTTGCGCGAAGGCCTTCGTTATCAGCCATTCAGCACAAGCATTCTTTCTCCTGTGAGAAAGTTTGTGGCATTAAGCAACGCAGGACGGCGTCGCAGCGAGAAGTGTGCGAGGGGTATGGTTCTGATAATAAGGTGCCAGACCCCTCGCAGACCTCTTACCGGCTCGATGTGCTCAAGAAGTTCAGTTTACCCACCGGTGAAGAAACACACGTGATGTAATGTAATTTCAGTCTAATGTATAGTAACAGTTTATTTAATAATGGTGCCATGTGATCACCAATATGTCCTGTTTGTTAGCTCTTTTTTTACTCTTAGATCGTACGATGAGATCTCGGAGCTCAATAGATACTTGGAAATGAATTATAACTAGTATTGGATGTTCTTTTAACTTCGAAATATTATGCTACTTAAATATAGCACAGCACAAATTTCTTATTTATATAACTGATAAAAACTAATTATTTTGTTTTGTACAACTAAATCTTTGACCACAGGACTACCAAGTAATAGACAGAATATGGATCATCAAAGATAAACACGGTCCAGAGGCCTGGAAAGGAGGAGAAGATAACACCGAGACCAGTGAGGAAACTGATGAGAAAGTGTCCGAAATTCATGTAACATCCGTGGAGTGACTCGAATTTCGGGAGAACTTCTTCAGACAGTTGAAGTCGCTTTTGCGAAAGTTTTTGCAAGGAATCGGTTACAATGATAGAGGAAGTCTGCTCCGCCAGTTACCACATGAGAAAGTTCGAGTATTTGTATATCGCAAAAATGTGAATTTTGTGCTTGCTGATAGTTTGCTAACAACGTCTACGAGGATCAATAGACTTGATTTTTCATTCCTACATTAGGGAACAAATTGGTCGAGAGAATGCATCGTGATACGATCAAAATCAAAACATTTCTTCTCGGAGGGAAGTTCAGGTCTCTATCTCGTGGCAAAATATGTGTGTCTGGTGATCTTTTAAACATTAAGTTTTTTCAGTACGTTAAGGCCTGTTCTGGTCATCGGTTGAAGATACTGCTTTCAACAACTCAAAAATTATATCTGTAAATTTGTGGCTGGTCCATGCAAAATAGCTTTCAAATCGTAAGGAATTTATGACCCCTTCTTACTATAAATACTTTGCACGTAATTTTTTGACGCACAATTTTAAAATACTTTCAAGCTTAGGCGGACCATTGAGATTAACTAACAATCGTGTCGCTGCTTCGTCGAGCTTCCCTTAAGCTTTAAAATAAGTTTGAGGGTCGTTAATAGGTACGAGTCAAAAACCGACTCAACACTTCTGATTGATAACAGAAGACATCTCTATAATCACAACCTAGTTCAGCTGCGCCGCGTTGTGTCCTTCTAAAAAATTCTTCTTTACCTTCCTTACTTTCTGAACTAGCTTACCCAAAGGGATTTTAAATGATAAAAAGTAATGGCCTGATTCGTATTCCTTGGCTGAGCTTAGAAGAAACAGCAAGAATAAGAATGAGCTCAGTACAGTAGGTAAGAAATAAAACATAAAGTTTTCATGGAGTTGAGAGCGTGTCTGTAAAATACACGGCCGTAGAAGTTGCTTTCAATATCTATCGCAACCTTTACTTGAAAGTCTATGTCAGGCAGCTGTGCACACAACATAACAGCTTTGAATAACCAGGGAAACCGATGTGAGATGTTAGTATTGCTTCTGATCTAAACTTATTACTTGAATATCGCCACCTTAACTATAAATAGTATGCAGTACAAGAGTCATTTAAGTTGGCTATAAAATTGCGAAAGTTTGGTGAGCAGTATTGCTTGTTTTCGGCGAAAGTGGAATTCGAGAATTCGACGTAGCGCAACACATTTAGCAAGGAAATTTTGCGCATGCAATTACCAAATATATTCGACTGCATAACAGGTTACATTAAAAATTGAGGATTTATTGTGTACATTGGACAATTTAACTAAAAAACCAGGAAGTTTTAACAACTGCAACTTCCCACTGAGCAAACGTCCGCCACACCCCGAAAAAAGAAGGCCCCCCCCCCTTAGTTCATTTGCTACCATGTACGCGCCTCCTGTAACTAATAACAGTTCAGACAACCTCGTTTAAATTAAGTAAAATACACCATAGAAAATAACGGAAAAAGTTATTTTCCATCAGTCACACGGCTGGGAGACGTTTTCCTATAACTTCTTTGAAGAACATCGAATCCCGTCACGTTGTTGAATGAAAAACCAAATCAGTCCATTCGCATGTTCTCGGATGTGCTCACCTGGACACATTTCTCGCGCGGATTTTCTCGCACTCTGATCGCGGGCTCCGTGTTCACATGCGTCCATTATTTGTTAGGATTGGTATTGCCTATTGGTTTTTTTCCCATAACTCTCTCGTCCTTCCTCACGCCTCCATGACTCTTCTGTGCGGCATTTTCTTTCTCTCTTTACTAGTGTTTTTCTTTCCTTTCTTCTTGAGATACTGCTGCAGCTTTCCTGAAGATTTCAGCTTTTTGAATTTCTCCGCCAGCTCCAACTTCTTTTTATCAGCTATTTAGTAAATAAACAAATGAAAGGTATAGCACTGGCATTGTAGAGGACAACACACTGCGAACAATGCCAATAACACATTAAAAAGCCTTCGCAATTTCAAAAATTTGTAAGCGTACATAATAGGATCAAAACTCACATTTCTTTAGGTAATATGGTGTTTTTCCTTGCTTCACTAATTCCAGTTCTGCCGTCTTCCTCTTTCTTTCTACTTCTCTCTTTTGAGCTGCAGCTTTCTTCGTTGCTTCTTGTTGATCCTGGCAAAAAGACAAGACTTCAGATGAAATTATCTGTACTTAAATGAATGGAATTATTCAAATTATAATGGAACGACTTGCTTCGAAAAAAGGAATACGTAATCTTTTCTTTTTTTAGAATCTTGGAACTCATTAGATTTGTTTGATTGATGTACATCAGGATCACTGTCACATCTGTCTTCCACTGGCTGTAAAAAGATAAGGCTCTCTTCATGTTCATGTCCTCATTTAACGTCTACTTAAACCTTAAACTCTCAAGATCTGATTGTTAATCGGCCATTTTACAGTTGTGTACTTAGTTATCAAGCCTCTGATTTGGAGTGAGGCTGAAGGTGACCTTGTTGTGATAGAGACCAGTATCTAGTTATCATGATAACAAAGTAATTTGCATTTGAAAAGCAAGCAACCTTAGCCTCACTCTTGTTCAAAAGCTTGGCAACCAAGCACACAACTGTACAATGGACTATTCTCCCTTCTTGCTGCTACACATTTTCTTGTAAATTATTTACAAAAATTTGGCGTCAAAGCAAAGTAACAACTTCCACTTCATAAGCTTGGCTGTTCCTGTTATCTTTTTACTGAAAAATGTATGGATATTACAGGGAGAAGTTACATGTTCATGACTTCTGTAAGTTGAAGGGTAAGGAAGCTCTCGTTACCATCACCTTTAGTGCAATGTCTTTATTTTCTGTACAAAGAGATCCAAGGGGAAGTGGGGAGGCTGGTAAACTGTACTACAAAATATTTACCATTCTCTTCAGTAATGACTCCAGCTGATGTTTTCTCTCTGGATGCTTGGTTTTCTGCATTTCTTTCTGTAATTGCTGCAAGAAAATCCAGAGAAATTATCACCTTCAAACAGCAAGTGTGCTTACCAGTAGATCTGCCTTGTTATGCATATAAGGACTTTGTAAGAATAGTTGTTGAGTAATTATGAAGACAATGAAGCTTCTGTTTGCAGTGGTGGCGGCAATGACAATGATAATAATAACTATAACAATGATGATTAAATTACAGTAAAAAAATATTTGATCAACAGAAATCAGATATCAATTGCTCACCTTCTTCTCATTTGCCTTTACATCATCTAAGAAGGAGTATGCTTTATCAAACATTTCTTGGTTGAAACTGCCTGACAATTCATCAAACCTGGGATCTCTTGCCATCTAAATCAATGCAATTAGACTGCTTTTCATCACAAAAATTTACAACCAGTGCATTGTGGGGGAGGCAGTAGTCCTGCAGTTAGCATGCTGCACCCTAGATCAACTATCTATCAATACTCTTACAGTGCTGCTCTTCAGGGAGTATAATTATTAGGTAATGGCAAACAATCAGCGGCACACAACAAAATTTGGGGGGTAAGCAACAATGATTCCAAACTTTGTAGTAAACTCATGCAGAAAAAAAACTGGATAAGCTTTTATATCTAACAAGTAACTCTCATTTAAGAAATACTCCCCAGTGCTGCTCTTCAGAGAGTATAATTATTAGGTAATGGAAAACGATCAGCGAGACACAACAAAATTTTGGGGGTAAGCAACAATGACTACACACTTTGTAGTTAACTCATGCAAAAAAAAACCAGATAAGCTTTTATATCTAGCAAGTAACTCTCATTTCCAGACTTTTCACACCCTTTCATGGTCTTTAATGTACAATAAACTTAATTTGATATGTACTACTAAACAAGTTTTTTTTTTTTTCACTGGGTCATTAAAGAGTCTGCATAAAAAGGATGTTTTGTTAATTTCTAGACAATACCCTTTAGGGAAAAAGTTGTATTGTTTTAATTTTGTTACATTATAATAATAATTTTAGTGGGAAAGGCTAACGTGCATAAGAGCAAAAAAACTCACTCGTTTTTTAACTGGAATAACTTGTCTTAGTCTAGGAACTGGTTTCTTTGATGACAATTCTCTTGGCCTGTAAAAATCATAGCATTTAGTTATCAAAACAGTCTGTTCTCTGTCTTATGAGCGAATTATTTAATGGAGGGTGAAGGGGGATAAAATATTCTAACTCTTAACCTTTCAAGGTTTTCACATGTACTTTTATCATTTTTTTTTCCAAAACCTTTCTCAAAACAACTCTACATGTATTGCAGTACAATGTATATGTAGATGATTTGTCAGGCTGGCACGTTTCTTTTAGTCCGATGGGTCTCACAGTCAACATTTTCCTCTCTCACCTGTTTTTGTTTTCCCTTTTAAGTGACTTTGTTGCATTTGTTCCTTTCTTGTCAAAGAGACCATGAATTGCTTCATTGTATCTTGAAATGAAATAGTCCCAATAAGCCTTAATATTCATTTGAAATGAGTTGGCCCTAAGGTTCAAATGCTGAGGTTCAAACAACATCAAATATAAATGTTTTCTGTGCTAACTTGAGCTCAGGCCAGGCCAATTCACTTCAATTTGACAAATAGATAATTTTTCAAAGTTTAGGTAGATGCACGTTGTAGCCAGAGCTTATTGTTTTTTTGTTTTTTTTTTTGGCACTTCACAGGTTTATATGAATATTGATAACTGCACCAGGACCCTATTGCTTGGATGCTGATCAGCATTCACCCAGGGTTAAATTTTTATTTTCTTTATTCTTTTAAGGGCATTCAGTCATCAAATTGTAGACAAAAATAATTGTAATGAATTTTCTTTTAAAGTTTTCAGATCTTAAATCAGATTTCAGACTAATCCTGAGTTATCTTAGCCCAGCTTTGAACAACCTGGCCCAGAATGGAAACCCTGTTGAGTTGCTTACTGTCCAGCATCTTATCAGGCTTCCCTAACAGTTTGTCAGAAGCCACTCACACTCCAGGGTGGAGAGAGGAGACACAAGAGTAGGTATCTTACCAAGGAACACAATATAATTACCCTGGCAAGTGCTCAAAGCTGCACTTTGGGCACCCAGTATCAACCATAATAAAATCCACAGGATTTCCTCAAACATTATTAATATCATTGCACCGCACACTAATAAATGTAAGTATCCTTAATAAAAGTTTTACAGAAACCCAATTTTGTGTTAGTTACCTATTTACTGTAAGTTAATAGCTATTGTGGTGAGTGTAATAATTATTATAATTTCAAGTTACCAAAGTATTGCAAATATTTTTGTATATTTGTTATATTGTCATCAAAAAAGGGTTCTCAGTTATAAGGTTCAGGCTGATGTCACTGTACTAATACCCTATCTTTTTCGACTGAATATTTTGCTTTGTATGAAATCAATCCTTTATTGACCCTTCGTATGTCAGCTACGCCATACCTCTTGGAGCCAACTCTGTGCTTAAGCTCTTCAAGTTCACAGAAAGGAACCTCTGATAGTTCTAAAAAAAAAAATGGAAAAAAAATTCGACATTTTTCTTTTCCTACAGTAGTATTTAAACGACTAACCAACGTTCCACGTGTATTAAAGCTATAAGGCGCTAGCCGTGACTTTTAAAAACTAACTACAAACAAGATAATTCACTTTACGTAAACTTCTGATTGTCAGCATTCTATTAATCCCTTGAAAGACACTCACCTTCTTTAAGCCGACTCTGAGATAAAAAAAATTTCAAAGACACAAATTAAAAGAAATAAGCTTAATTAACAAAGTTTATGAAATGGAAATTTTTCAAGAGCGACAGCAAGTCTTACAATTTGGCCTTCTTCCTCCTCATCAGAGTTATCTGGGCTTGTATCATCATCTGGAGATTTTGAAATACTATCATTTGGATCATAAACATCCATGCTTCTTTAGAATTTCCC